TTCCAAAAAACCGTTTCTGAAATCCTCCTAGCGAATTGACGAAAATTTTTCCTTTAAGTAAACTGTCGTTGCCCGTATAAGATTTCACTGTATGCAACGGAAAGTGTTTTATTTTTCCTTTAATTGTTTGTACTTCCTCTTAACACAATAATCCGCATTTTTCATTAACGGAACTCGCGGTTTGAAATTTTACGTTCAAAACACAAGTATTGGTAGGGCTACGATCCTAAATTCGAAACTGGTGCAAATTATTAATGGTTTCGCACTCGTAACAGCAGCGCTTGGAATGTGACACTTTTCTCAAATACTCAAAAGTTTTGGGGCACTAAATGGTTTTAATCACTGCAAAATTTAATGCCTGAAACTTTTAATGTTTTCGATATTGTGAATCATATACTAGATATAACCGTAAAACCGAAAAATACCATTTTTGCAGGTACATTTTTACCCCTCATCACTTAAGCACAACTTCCCAGGGGGGAGGGGGGAATCCTAGGATAGTCATATTGGGCAACAAAGGAAGCCATTAAAATAATAAATCCTTTTGTAGGATTTAAATCCGATTTAGATTTTAATCCTACAGGCCTATTGGAAAACCACGCGATACTATACCGGGTGGTGACTTGCGTAACGCATCATAGGGATTTCAATGTAAAATTCATAACATGCGATTATTGGCTCCCAAAATTATTTTAGAGCAAAAATGTATTAAAGTTTTTTGTAGAAAAATTTTTTTACGCCATTCAACCGTATTAGTTTTCAATTTTATTCATATAAAGACGGAAAATTGGAAAAATAAAACCCGCAACTTTTTCAATAATCTGCGATGCCATGGAATTTTCTAAAACAAAAAGATATCCACTTACCAATTAGCAGCAGTTCGAAATGGATTTTATGATCGACTTGGTTACTGTCTTGCAGTTAATGGTGACTTATTCGAAAATTTATTGTAAATTGTTATATGTATTAAGAAACCGTTTTTAGTAATTTGGTCTTTCTTTATGTTGAATTCGCTGTTCTAAATATACTTTTTTATAGAATTTGATTTGTTTTATAGCAGACATTCCATGGCATCACAGATTATTGAAAAAGATGGGGGTTTTATTTTTTCAATTTTCCGTCTTTATTATGTAAAAAATTGAAAACTAATACGGTTGATTGACGTAAACATTTTTTTTTTTATTTCGGTGGCATAATGATGATTTTGTACAACTGTTTTCGGCCAGTTGTACAAAGACAGTGATTATAGTCGTTTTTTTTTGGTAACCCATCCCTTAACTTGGCAGTTACTAGTTAGTACAAGTAGGTACTTCGTTGGGTACTTCCATGTTTGAACTTCAAAATGTCAGTCTTACTACGCTGCCAACCTAAAACTTAACGGCATAAAAAGTGTTTCCAACATAAAACATGTTAGTTCTAATGTTCCCTATAGTTTCTGATAATGATTTTTTTAATTAAATTAAAGCACCGAAATAGAAAAAATAGTATGAAAAACGCGTGTTACAATGCTTTATTGTAATACTCCTATCTTGCGGACACTCGTGGCTACGCTTCGCGTCGCCACTCGTGCCACAAGATAGTCGTATTACAATAGGTCGCATTGTAACACTTGTCTTTCAATATACTATTTCTACAGAAAACTTTAATACATTTTTGCTCTAAAATAATTTGGGGAGCCAATAATCGCATGTTATGAATTTTACATTGAAATCCCTATGATGCGTTACGCAAGTCACCACCCTGTAGATCCTATCGCGATCTCGACGCGGAAAATAAAATCTTCAGTTGCAATATTGATTTCTCGTAACCAAGAACGGAATCTCTTCAACATTTGTGTTTACAACACTCTCTGGCGGGCTTGCATGTGAATCCTTCAATAATCTCCCGGAATGATCACCCTTTTCTCACTTTATGGTTAATTAATGCCTATACCATTGACTAAATATTAGTCAATGCGCCTACTAAAATGACGGATTGTACTTCATTCCCCTTTATTTCCAAAGACGCGAATTTAGCAAATTCCATGATTTTAAGTGTTATCATGATACCAATGAAAGATGAAATACGATACAAACTTCAGTCTTCATGGCTCTACCGAAAGCAATTAAGAAACGAATTTCCATAAAAAGGAATACGTAGAAATGTATAAATGCACGTCCCTTGCACTGCAGTTGCGTCACATCCCGATTAACGATTATTGTTGTGACTCTGTCTCATTAACCTAGCAATATATTATCTGTTTAAAAAACTGTGAACATGTCGTGAACCACTGCCATTTCGTAAGTCCTGTGCAACGTAAAAATGATATTTGATAGATCTAAATGAGAACTGTACAGCTCTACAAAATAATATCTATCAATAGAACGTGCTAATTATACATATGTTATGTTCATTCTTTGAGCAAACGTAACAAAATTACCACGAGATAATCACACGGTAAGCTCAGACAAAGTAGAAGTGGGTCGGGATGATTTAGTAAATTTCAAAAGAAAAGACACAAACTTACAAAAAGGGGAACAAGGCAGGCTTAGAGATCCTTGTTCTGATTTTTATAAACTAAACAAATAAAATAATTCACAAAGTAGAACATACACAATAATTGTTGTTACAATCGAGAGTAATTTAATAAACGATCTCCTATTACAAATAGGACGCTGTAGTATCTATAGGACTAAAATGTCAATGTTTAAAATTTAACTCAATTTTTAGTAAAAAGGAATCAACTCATAGTAATTACTAATTAGAATTCAATTGTATCGAAAATGAATATGTAATCAAACGTGATATCAAGGAGTCATCGAATATAAAAATTAACTTTAACGTAACGGCTTTTTCAGCTCAGAAGACGGCTTTTCTGCCTTTTCTGTAACAGATAACAACACAAACAAAAAACAAAGCGGATAGTGATTAGGGCGTAACATAAATATTGCGGTAGCAATTCTAACGTCTGACACTCGGGTACTCGTATACTATAAGAGTAATTAATACTCAATAAGAATCAATAATTCGAATGACTTTCCACTAGCAAAAACAAAATTTCGATCGATAACGACTCCTCCGTACAGGTCGGTGTAACAAAAGTATAAATGTAACGTTAACTTCAAGAAAACCACACGAACCACAAATAACTAAATTTCTCTACAACAAGAATGTGAATAAGATAGCACGAATAAATTCTTCGCGATGACACAAGTAACGTAACCAAAAATCATAGATATCGGTTCCGGAATAGGTAAATTCAAAAAGGAATTTACAATTCAAAAGGAATTCACTAAATCGGTAATCAGACTAATTTAAAAGATATGAAACGTAGTTAAGCTTGAATTCGGAGTGACAAAAGTAGACAAAATTGAGTCTGGAAGGTATATTCTTAAAAGGTGTGGTATAGTATAATAATGAAAAAATAAGACAGAAAATTAGGAGAAAACTGTGAGAGAACTACGAGAAAAATTACGGAAAGAAGACAAAACCCTACAAAATTTACGTATTAAGGACAATGCTGGGTCAAAATCTTTACATATCTCACACTAATTACATGCAAATATAAATCCGCCAAGCGTATTTACTGGACCAGCCGCAACACATTAGAAATAAATAAAAAACTCCAAATAAATATATTATAATATCCACTATGAAGTGGAGAAAGTTAAGTGACAGTAATGGCGTATCAAGAAAAATTTGCAATAACCACTATAAATGAAAGATCTTCTCTGAACAAGGAGGAACAAATACAGGGAAAGTGCAAGACAAAATTAAAGAAGGGATAGAATTGCAGAAAGGTGAAAGAATGAAACCTATAACACTAGGATAGCCTCCAACGGCAAACTAAAGAATTAAGGTAATGACGACTCTACTACAGAACTAATTAACTATATGGCGTAAGAATACCACCTAAATTACAATGACAAATTAAGTCACTGTAACTGAAATGAAAGTATGAATCGAAAAGAGTTACTTAAATGGAATATAAATTTGGAATTTAAATAAAACGTTGCACATATTCCCGACTGGCGACTACAATCTTTGTCGACAGGAAGACCATTTTCGGTTTTTCTAGGTTGCCTTAAGAGCTACGATGGTGGTTAAAATTGTGAAAAAATAGCTAAATTTAAAGCCAAATCTTTATATTACCAGAAGTAACCCATTTAGTTTCCTGAATTATTAAATAAACCCCATTTTTTAAATTTTACTTTCACAGAAAAAAGCATTGCAGAGATTTAAACTATGGCAGTTACTTTTGCAAGAGGAATTTTAACGTAACTTTCAATTTAACAACAAATTTGTAAATAACCTATTTCTTCTAATTGAAATGAGGTACTACACTTTATGGTTTTCTTTTACATTTTGATCAAATCGCCATGTGACACAGGAAATGGACGCACTGTATATTAAGCCAATACGAATATATTGGCGAAAGATACGTAAGTTATTCATTGAACTCTTTAACATTTTTATTGTTACACGACGGCGACGTTTTCACGGATGTTGGCGCCACTTTGCTATTTTAAGATTCTAAGATTACGTTGGGTATAAATGGAACGGTTTTTCAATTGTATGTTTCGAAAAGATTAGCAAATTAACCTATCATTTTCAAGATCTAGTACAGACTTAACATACACAACTGTGCAACGTACTTATACTATACCAAGTGCTCAGTAACTCATAAAATTCTTAGCGTTGGATGCAAACACCTCATTCTTCAAAGGGAAACCCTTTTTGTTAACCAATAAATTATGGAATATAACAGTGCAGTTGCATCCGTAACGTAATGGTAAATAACGTAAGTATGTCTACTGGTGTGTCAACATTTTGATTGTCACTTATTGTGCATGTGCCAGAGTTTCTCTTCATTGGCACCTTTTTGTAAAAGGTATGCAGATAATTTGGCGATTGTATATAGTTTTGGCAAGCCAAACTTCAGTAATGATAGATATTATCCCACGTGCAATAGCATATCAGTTTAGTTACCATCAACTAATCCTACAATAACCTCTTTTCAGTGTTCCAAGATGTCCACGTCATGATATTCGCCGGTTTCGGCTTTCTCATGACGTTCTTGCGAAAATATGGATTTAGTGCTGTTGGTTTTAACTTCTTGCTGGCGGCGATGATGATACAGTGGGCGATATTGTGCAATGGCTTCTTCAACCTGGACGAAAACACGAAAATACCGCTAAGCATTGAAAGTCTACTAAAGGCAGATGTTGCGTCTGCGGCCGTACTAATTTCAATGGGAGCACTACTCGGAAAAACATCATATATACAACTTCTAGTGATGGGAGTGATCGAGATCGCAGTTTTCAGCTCGAACATGTACTTGGGATCTGAATTTTTCAAGGTAATTATACAACTGCTGTAGAAACTTGTTTTATTGCTGTTTGAATAGGTGTCTGATGCTGGTGGTTCAATATTTGTACACGTTATGGGGGCTTACTTTGGGCTCGGCGTAAGTTACGTACTTTGCAGAAATAAAAAGGGCTCCGAAGTTCAGAACACGTTAGAAGGTTCGAGTTATACCTCGGATTTGTTTGCGATGATCGGTAAGTTTACATAGTCGTAATTTTCATCAAGTCCTCGAACTTTGTTGAAGTTACAAGTTTTTCCCTTCTTTCCCGAATACATAAGCTATTCTTTCTAAGTTTGAAGTGATACATGTAGGCTTTCAACCGTAAATTGCAAACGCGCACTAAATTTAATTACCATGGACGGAAGCACGTGCTGAAATGTTCAATATCGCATATTAACCAATAAGGAGAAAACTGCCGTAGGGTTCATTCATGCGAAAACACAAATTTATTCAGGTGCGGAAAGACGAGACCGAAAAATAGACGGTAATGGGGAACGGAAAGTTTCCAGTGGACTTATTTTCTTGAAAATGTGCCATTTTGTACGCGATATGAGAGTAGTTCTCATTGTAATGGAAGCACTAGCAGGTATTGCAAATTTAAATTAATAATCACAGACGTACATTGCCTGAAGGGCGACATACAACTGTAATGCTTTAGAAATCGTCAACAGGGAAATATAAAAGGCCGATAAAGAGATAAAAATTGTATATAGATGGTTTATGTATGAATTTTATACCCATATTATCTCTAGGGATATCTATAAAATATCCTATAAATTGAGGTGATTCAGACTTTCACATATACAAAGTATCTCCGTTCCCGCACTCAGAAAATACGCACCATGAATTTGAAACAAAATTTTAAGCGAGCCATTTTAATTCTTTTATCTGAAGGTAAGGGGTAGGGTCCTGCAGTATGTAATGCACATTGTTATTCCAATTCTCAAAACAGAAAGTTGCATGATTTCTATCCAATAAAAAAAAACTGCAGCTATTTTTCTAAGAAAAATACTTCTTTGGTCCTAACTTTCAAAAAACTTTCTTAACTAGCATAGGCATGTTCTTAAAATACGTCCTTTTAAACATATTCTTAAGCTTATAAATGGAAACGCTATCAATTTGATATTTACAGCTGATTTTGTGTAAAGTGGGGGTCATTTTGGTGGCGATAAAAACGTGAACACTGAACTACATTTTTAGATAAACCACGATATTTAAATTTTTGAATACATTTTCTATTGCAACGTAAATTTAATTGCGTGCTTTATTTATTTCCTTACAACTAATTAACAATAAATTTATAATATTCTTGAAATCAATTGATTTATAACAGTTAAAGTATTTTTTTATCACTCACATATGCACAATTTATAACAGCACGGACTACCTATTTATTACTTGCGCGTTGAAATGGAACTAAGAAACTCAATTCGGTTAGCTTAAATAGCAACACCCAGAATAGGTCATGGTCTAATTCTGACTAGATGATACGCAACTGGGGTGCTCACGAAAGTTGTCGAACATTCTAGAACAAAGACTGTTAAAGTCAGTTGAAGTTAGTGTATAATAGTAGGTGTATGTCTTAAGTTTAAATAGTAGATTAGAATTTTTATTGTCACTGTAATACCGCTCAATCTTGTAATCAATTTCATTAAAGTTTAACGTTAAAATATATTAATTACTTCATATTTCCCGGAAAGATTACGCCACATTCCCCTTCGTTCTTTATCGTCAATGACTAATCTTTCATAGCGCCTCGATGTCTATCGGGATCTCTGGACTATTCGCTATACTGCCCCCCCCCTTCTTAAAATTGTTGCGTCTCACGAACGACGGTTGAAGCGGAGACAGTCCCAGGCAACCCTTATTCGATTGCACGAACTTGATAGCGATACTTGCACGAACGACTCCCTCGTGCATCTTCCATTTCCTGGTTCCATAGAATACCACATTCAGCAAGGTAAGGTGCAATAAATTTCGTTGAAAGTGGATTATCGTGGTCTCACTTGCATCACATTCGCTACTTCCTGTTTGTCGGGCTCGTTCTGTGACGCGTATGTAACCAACCGTTTTCTGCTTCTGGTTTTCCTCGTGGTAGCTTCCGTATCCAATATATTATGTCGTTTATTCATTTACCGTATACGGCCCTTCCCAAATTTTTTTGTAATTTTCACGTACTCCGCACGGTTCCTTTTTGGCCGGGTCTTGCACCAAATTTCAAATCGCATGCTCAGGACTACTCCAAATCTGCTAAATAGTTCTTTTACCAGAACCTCTGCCGCAGTTGTCCCTTCTTGATTTGGTAGCGCAGATGCTTCCGTCCATTTGCTAAAATATCCATGGCTACCAAGATGTATTTCTTTCCAAAATCTGTTTCCGGTAAGAGGCCTGCGATATCAATAGTATTCTTTCAAATGGGCTACCCACACTGTATCACACTGTCATTGGTGCTTTCTTCTTTCCTACTGACCCGATGTTTGTTGCACAAACTGCACATTTTGTTCACCATTAATTCATATCTTGTTTGCAATTCACCCAGTAGAATCGTTCCCGCACCTTAACCAAGGTTTTGTTACTCCCGATATACCATCGTGTATCTGTCGTAGTTCTTCAGACTTTCTGCTCTCCAGTATCACTAGCTGTATATGTGGTCCTGCCATCATTATTTTCTAAAACCCTCTTAAGAAGTCGGGATTTTGTCGGGATTCACTGTCACTCCATTTCTTGAAACCAGATGACCAAGGCATTGTACTTCTTTTTGAAAAAGGTTGCGCTTCTTTGTTTAAGTTTGAGTTTGGCACCGTGCAACCTCATAAACACTCTTCATTTCTTGATGTATATCGAGAACGGAATACTAAAAGTGCATAACGTGCGTATATGCGCAGTTTACCTATACTTCCTATCTTTTTCTATGCTGAAAACTATACGTTTTAGAGCAGGCAACCTTCAACCCACGGCCCGCGGGCCTGATCCGGCCTGCCGATAAGTTTTGTTCGGCTCGCTAACATAATTCATAGTAAAAACTTCATACGGCCCGCCAAGTTATATTAAAAATTCGAATTAATTAATTAATTAATTATGATTATGTTACACCGCAGCATCTAGTGGACGAAATCCGAAGCTACCAAGACGTTTGAAAGCCTCTTTGAAGATGCATTTCTTTTTACACAGATATCGGCAGGTATTTTCCAGAATTTTCGTCGCGATGTATACCGGGTGGAGCAATAAAACGACCCGTGTTTTTGGGATTCAGCAACATTTTTAAGCCATATATTGCAACAAACGTTAAGAGCATAAATCAAAATTTAAAAGTACAGTTCATGGGAATTGACATTTGATGGAACCCCTGCAGAATCTTTTCAAATAATTGCGTGACTATGTCTAAATTTGAGTAGACTCATTTAGTTGCTATAATTGCGTTGAGGAGGCGGCGAAACACGGCTAGATTTCCTCTCCCTATTTCTTGATAATTGAGCTCACATTTTAACAGAGCGTTGCTTACGTCCAGAGTAGTTTGATAATCATTCAATACAATTTCCAACCCAAACTTTTGACACTGGGACTTTAAAAAAATGGTTTTATAGGAACCATCTTTCTGTGGATGTTCTGGCCAAGTTTCAACGCAGGTGAAGTTGAAGGAGACGACAGGCACAGAGCGGTCATCAACACATATTTAGCGTTAGCGTCTTGTTGCGTCACGGCTTTTGCCGTTTCAGCAATTTTCACACCGGGCCACAAATTCGACATGGTTCACATACAAAATTCCACATTAGCAGGTGGTGTTGCTGTCGGAACGGCAGCCAACATGATGGTGCAACCTTACGGTGCTGTGATAATCGGAATTGTGGCCGGTGCGCTCTCTGTGCTAGGGTATGCTAAATTGACGGTAACACTCACAATTCACAAAGCCCCGACTTGTTCTAAGTAATCCAATTTCAGCCATTAATTAATAGTAAACTGAACATTCACGACACGTGCGGGGTGCACAATCTGCACGGAATGCCAGGGGTACTGGCAGGATTGATCGGCGCTCTAATGGCCAGCATTGCTACAGAAGATACCTACCACCATGGCTTGTACGAGATTTGGCCGGCTCGTGCCCCAACAACAGCCCAACACACCCCAGAAGTGGGCAGTCCAATTATCGGCGATGGCCGATCGGCTTCAGTACAAGCGGGCTACCAACTTCTGGCAGTCGTGGTAACTCTGCTAATCGCCATAATCGCCGGAGTTATTACAGGTAACTTCGCAATTAATACTAACCTTTAAGCGTAAACTTAAATCAGACTTAAACAATACAGGCCACATATTAACCGAAGACATCACATCACCATTGAGACGAAAAGACGATTTTCTAGATGTATTGTATTGGAGGATACCGGACGATGATAAACTTCCACTTCAGGAAGTAAAGTTCGGCCCCATTTTTAAAGTACAACCCCTTCAAAAGTTCTCAATCACTTCTGAAACTGCGGTACCTATACATTAGATTTCTTAGGCATTATTTAGAGCAGTCCAGGCTTTTAGATGGCATGCACTTTGTTCATTTGTATTTTGAAAATGTGCCTCAAATGTAGATACTAACGCCAGTTTAATGATTCTAGGATTCATTATACTCTCACCAGTTGTAACGCGTATAAGTCCAGAAAATAGATACGACGACGCTCTCTCGTGGCACCTTCCTGATGAAGAGCACGCGGAGCCATCTCCATACGCTCACGATACCGAGTTGAATGGCTCCAAGCACGAATCTCCAAGTGTTCTTGTTATTGAAGAAATCTCTCATTAATTTTAGAAGGAAATCTTTCAGCGTTTACAGTTATCTTTCTCTTTCGCTGTGATAAGCTGATACCTGATAGTGATTAAATACTGTAAACTACGCCTAGATTTCGCTTTGTTAGTTTAACGAAATGGTTTATTATTTTTATATAAACAGTTGTAAGTAATAGTCAATGTACACATACGTAGAACTAAAGTGAAAAGTACCTGCAAATAAAGTAACGTTTGAATCAAAGTATTGATTTGTGAAATTTCCGCCACCTACCGCCAGCCAGCTGAACACGTAAGTAGTTTCAATTTTCAACTTTGTGAAAATGCTTTCATTCAGTGTACATTCCTGTATTCAAATTTCATGTGGTTACTTCATAAGATAGTGTTCTATTCTTCTATTTACACTATGTTCATAGTTAGGTTTGAGGAAGTATACTCTGGACTCTAATCCAAAAGGTGTTCTAATGAATATGGTATAGAATTTAACATTTTTCAAATTTTCATCGAAGTTCTAACCAATCAATCATCGATACAGAAAGAGGATTAATTATTATTAAACGCAAAGTGCCCATAAAGTATAATAGACATAGATTAAAAAAACAAATTCAATTGGCATTTTAATAAGTTTGAATGAGCTATGTTGCTCTTTAACCGTGAGAGTAGATAAAGAGACCACTTTAACCGAAAGTGTGAAACAGATGATTATACATTCTAATGACATATGTTAATTTCAAATGGGACGCGGAGCACGATTTAAAATGACGTTCACAACATATGGCAATGCTGTTTCTATGATAACGACTGCGACGACAGACCTTGCTATTTTTTACGTCTGCATTAAATTCAGAATTGTCAGAAGCTTTACAGTGATTTTTATATGGCTTCTAATATAAATAAAGCTTTGTATTATTGTAAATAGTAAAGTGCAAGCAATAAAAAAATGCAACTTCTGTAAATCTTAAAGATTTGAATAAATTTATGATTTACGCCGCGCTACTAAGAATTCAGATTTTTGTTACATTTACAGAACTAGCTACAATCACCGATTAAAAAAAAACCAAATTGTCTTCGTCATTCTGATTTGTTGTAAGAGATATTGATTATACTTCAAAGTGCAAAAAAAGAATGTACAATGAAAGATTTAAATACAGTACGGTGACAAAATAAATTTACGGAACAGAATTACAGTACCTACTTACAAACGTCACGTGCGAAAGTGCAAAATGCAAGAGATCGATAGTTTAAATAGGTACGGTACGGTTGTTAATTTACGGAAAAGCTCAAAATTATGATATCTTAATAACGTAACTTGCGAAGATGCAAAAGGCAAAGGATCCTCTCTGAACTAAGCGTTTATCTTATATAAATTTTTCAAAATACGGAGAGGGAACGTAGGAAAGTCCAACCAGTCAGCGTACCAAATACGAAAACGTTCAAAATTAAAACTTTTCTAATTAATTAATTTCTCGGCTTTTAATCATATAAAATCGGGGCGGGGGCACCTACTATTAATCGCACTTACTTAATTTGTCGGATTTTTTTATGCTAATAATGACTTAACGAAGCTGAAATTCTAAAATATTAATTTGCCCTCGTCCTCTAAATCACACGAGCTTTCGAACACAACAAAGATAATTGAAATCTTGACGGGAACGGTTGGAAATGACGAATTAATTACAGCCTTTGTTTACGGTAACGGTGGCTGAAGTACAACTCCAGAAACTAAATCAATTACCTTTACCTTCAATCTTCAACTCCTAGAACCAACAGAACTGCTGGTCAAAATGTGATGGCTGTTTAAAGCTGTGATTATTTGTACCTCTTTACAAACAAACCTTTTGGTTTCAATTCAGCGTTGTATTTGAATTGCCTATTGTCAGATACAGATTGCTAAGCAATTTTACTAGTTTTTTCATATTATGGAAACATTCATGACTATAAAAACAATTTGAACAAATATACAGGAATTCAAATTAAGTTAGAATTTACTGAAAGCGAAGAGATGCAATCCATTATCGGTTCTGATTTCAAAATTTATACGTAATCTAAAATTGTTGATTAATAATGTATATACAAGACCTTTACACTGTGACATGATGTTGTTATGCTTTCTTCCCAATCTCTTATACAAGGAAGTAGCTATAACGTACTCGTATCCACACGTGTGCCAAACCTTCTCGTAAGATGAGAATTTTACTGGTTTTGCTGAACGTAGTTTTTGTTTGCACTTTACCCCAAAATTCCACGCTAAAACTGGTGCATGTGGTAAGATATTGTTTGGTAATTTTTTCACAGTTTGCTTACAATTTTTTGTATAGTTTTTCCGTCACGGTAGTAGAATACCAGATGAACACGAGCTATACCCCAACCATGAACGCTACGAATCATACAAACATATCGGATTTGGTCAGCTAACAAACGTGAGGGTTTTTTATAAACTCTGTAATTTACTTGTTGCCGTTGTAATTTCAGGCAGGCAAACTAAGATCTTATCAACTTGGTAAAGTTCTTCGTAACAGGTACAATGACTTTTTGGGAGAAGATTTCGAAAGTAACGCGGCATTCATACAGTCAACAAACATCGAAAGGACAAAGATGACCGCTATGTTACTACTCGCTGGTTTGTTTCCTCCATCTAAGAGAGATAAGTGGAATGAAAAATTGAATTGGATTCCGATTCCCCTTTCGCTTGACCAAGGCGATTACGTATGCTTACCATTACCATCGTTAACTCTGTACATTAATGTTTTTAAAAGGATCTATGGAAGCCAATTTACTATTGTCCAACTTACCTTCGTGAAATGACAAGAGTTTTGGAATCACAAGAGGCGGAGGAACTAAAACAACAATACAAGCACGTGTTCGAGTTGGCCACACATAAAACAGGCAAAGCATACAATACTATGCGGGATATATTTCTTTTGCATCAATTAATTCATGTTGAACAGACAATGAATGCAACTCTACCAGATTGGGCTGTTGAATCATTCTCCGATTTACGCCACATTGCCATTATGCAATGTTATTTTGAGAACAAAAACACCTTAATGAAGAGGCTCGCTGGAGGTAACGGTGACGTTGCATCCCTCACGTAATAAAAATGAATCCTGCAGGTCGAATGTTATCAAAGGTTATGGAACATATGAAGGACAAAATTCAGAACACACTAAACCCTCCAGGAAGAAAAATATTCTTATATTCTGGTCACGATTACAACATTGTTAACACACTCGCTTCACTGAATTTGTACAATAAACTTCATTTTCCTAATTTTAACGCGGCCGTCTGTATCGAGCTACATCAGGAGCCATCGACACTTGCCTACTTTGTGAAGGTTGCGTTGAATTGCTTTGAATTGTACTGCTCTAATTATTGACTTTTTAGGTATTTTATTTGAAAGATGTGTTTGACGAACCGGAAGCCCAATTTATTCCGGAATGTGGATATATGTGCGAGTTTAGCAAGTTCCAAGAAATACTTATGCCGTATTTACCCATTAACTATACAAAAGAGTGCGAATCTGTGATAAATTTAGATTAAAAGTGTAGTTAAATAACTAAACGTAGGTATGTAGGAAATAGTTGATCCATATACATATTTCCTAAGATAATCATTACATGTTACATCTATTTTGGGCAGTTTGACAGTTCAAGTAAGTATTGTTTATGGTTATCTTCAAGGCTTGTCCGCAATGCAATTGATTTTACCAGGTTGATAGAAATTACCATGAGAACAATTGTTGTAATCATTACTATACCTACCGAAATCTACCAACCCAGTTAAACAGCTTGAACTATGGTAAAGTTACAGACAATTTAGTTTGGGAACACCTAAATTTATAGGAGCAGGATTTTTTCCAACATTGTACTTACCGTTTTATATAATATTGGTTTTAGTTTTGTTCTATTAAGAAGTAGCCGCATTAAATTTGGCTAGCAAAACTGCTATTCTTGTTATATTTCTTCTTCTTCTTCCGAGATCGCGATGTTCAAAATCAGAAAATAGCTTCGACTTGGACGGTACCTGATTCGAACGCGAATTCCAGCATTCTACCTGTATTCTAAGAGAGTTCTAAGAGAACTCTAAAATTATCCCAACAAGTTTGTAAGAAGATTCTAAAAATTATATAGATTATAGAGTCTATAAAAGTTTCAAAGATTCTAAAAAAGGATTTAAAAACCTATTCTATAAAGATATTAAGAACATTCCTAGTAGATGATCCTAAAATACTAAGAAGGCTCTAATATGACTAGACGGGCTTAGGGAGAAAATGCCTACAAGGTCCTAAGACAAGTTTCAGGATTCTACCAATACTCGTAAAATTATAATGATTCCAACGGTTCTTAACGTTCTGAAGGTTGTAAAGGTTCTAGAAATCGTTTAACTGAGGATTCTAATACGATAGTATGAAGATTCTAAAAACTCTTAAAATGGCCCTAAGGATTATAATCACAAGAAGAGTGCAAGATTTCAAAATCCTGTGAAGGTTCAGATTCCAACAATCACCGATGAAAAATTATTAAAGGTCCCGAAATTAATGGATTGTCAGAGGGTACGGGACAGTAGAAAAAGCCGGAGCGATTCTGGGTAGAGAGTCGTGCACTGCAAGACTACACGTTGCGCCCGATTATTCTTATACTAAAGCGACACAAATGCACGGTTAAGAAATAGTATGCTCATACTCAGCTTGCATACAGTAGACTCTCTATAATCCGGCACTGCGCCAGCCCAGAATTTCGGTAATCCGGTGCACTTTGACGGGCGTGGTGTGGGATTCAAGTTGAGATACGTTATTGAAACTATGTTTATTTTTCATTTTTTAATTTGGAACCTTTTATTCGTTGTGTTTGCACAATACAACACCTGTTTTGTACGTTTTAAGCGTTTTATTGGTAATCGGACATTTTCACTGATTCGGCAGTACCCCGGTCCGATACCTGCCGGATCACTAAAAGTCTACTGTAAGTATCTATATCATTCTCGATGTCTTTATCGTCATCAAAGTCGTTATTTTCGGTATCACCATCCTCGTCATTCAGATTTATTACTCCTCATTACGTTTGAAAAAAGTTGCCAAAACAGAAACAGATCCTTAAATTGGTTTTATTTTCACTGTTCAAAACATGCCTGTGTATACCGGTATAAAGATTCACATTGGTGCGCCCAGTTTGGCGACCGTGACGGGACTTTTGTTCGTGAGTTTTGTTCTGGATGTGGAACAGCTTAAAAAACTTCGTGCATCTTCCCGGCAGGCGTTTATGAAAGCGTACAAAGTGTTAGAGGTTCTTTAGGCTGGCAATATTATAACCACTAAAATAGTTGAGGTGAGAATATGTTGGCAATTGTTACAGGAGAGATATGAGACGTCAGTGAGGACAACTGAGGGAATGCATTGCCTAATTTCAGCTGATGAAGAAATTATGCAGGTAGTTTAACGGTAGACAATATGGATAAAGCACAGAAGTACACCCGTATATTTCTATACGCGGTAGAAGAGACATTGCAACTTCTTAGTCCACTTAGTCCCGCGTCAGTTCAATCTACTCCTAGAGGATCGACAACAACCGGTTACAGCCAAGAAAATCAAACTACCGCTTATTAACTTGGTAAAGTTCCACCCGTGCGTGGTTACGGTTCTGGAGCAAATTTTAGAAAATAGATCGCGACGCCCAAATAGCTACCGAAAACAAATTGGAATATTTAATCGCAGAGATGGTTCCCTGCAGGAAAGCTCGGTCCATGTCTTTGTATGAACATCGAAAGATAACTCAAAACAAGAACAGCTGTTTTGATTGTTTGAAACGACGCCATGGTTTTCGACAATGCAAAGAGAAACGATTATTTTCGCTTAAAAAAAAGTTACAATTGGAAAACCGCTTGTTAAGACTCGTTTTAATATTTAATAGTTTTAATATTTAATAATATTAATTGGGCCCTTGCAGGTTCACCATCCTCATAAACGACATAAATAAATCTGTCAATGGCATTGGAAGTATAATTAATTACGCTGACGATACCAACATCGTACTACACTCATATAAGCATCAAGCATGAGGAACTCGAGTATAAGGCGGAATGTGCAATGGAAAAAGTAGAACAATATTTCATCAATAATAAACTATTACTAAATAAGAATAAAACAAGGTGTGTTCTTTTCAAACTGGGTCAGTCATATGCGGACATGGTAATACCGGACAGCATTATTGTCGGTAACGATTATCTACCACTTTCAAATCATACCAAGTTCACCTTCCAAGATAATCTGAAATGGACTAAGCATATCCAACAGTTAAGTTCAAAACTTAATTCGGTGGTGTACTCGATGAGGGTAATGAAGCAGTACCTAAATGTCAGCACACTGAAGATGATATATTATGCTAACTTTGAAGGCAGGCTAAAATTCGGGATAACATTTTGGTGTCAGAGTCTGGAACATAGAAGAATCTTCAAAATACAGAAAAGGGCGATCAGGTTACTTTACAATATGAGGCATAATGAATCGTGTAGGGGTGTGTTTAAAAGGCATAGAATATTTACATTAGTAGGATTATACATATACGAAGCGTGTACCTTTATGTACAAGAACAGAAGCATGTTTGCAAAATTCAAGATAGGTCACAATCATGAAACGGAGCTTTATATAATTATCCACCACACAGACTAACGGCAACAGAGAAAGGCTGTCAATACGTTTGTATTAAATTACATAACAAACTCCCTCTCTCATTTCATGGCATGAACTTGAATCAATTTAAGCGAGCACTGAAAGACTTAATACTAAACATAGAACCGTATACATTGGAAGAATTTTGCTTTTAACCTGCTTAAATTTTCTTTGACACCTTTTGCTATACAGTGTAATGTTAGCATTGTTTGCAAAATAAAGAGCATTATTATTATTATTTATTTATTTGCAGAATATGTTATAACTTATAGTATAGGAAGGTAACTTCTTGTCATAATTAACACTTTTTAATTAAGAAATTCTTCGAAGGTTTACCGCTCTATTTCTAACAGTTCTTCGCCGCCTTTTTAAATTCTCGCAGACTCGGTAAGTTTGTTATATATTGGGAAGTCTTAAAACCTTATACATTTTGCAAGAATGGTCCAAAAGAAGAGATTATTGAACTCATTCGGCGAAAACTGAGAACTCAAATTCCCTAAACTAGAAACCGGATCGAAATTGATAGAATTGATTTCCCAAAAATACTTTTTGACTTAATTATTTCGTTGCCGATGTCAAGTATAATTTCCTTTTGCGCAGCTCCAGAAACGCATTTGATTCCTACTCTGTTTTAATTTATTTCTTTAACGATTCCTCAACATTGATCAAAGTAGCTCGGTTTTCCCGAGTCACAATTTTAGCGAACTTGCGCGTGGATTATTTTTAAATAAAACTTTATGTTGTCTAATCTCACCAAACAACATCGTGCGTCTTTATGAACCTATAAAATTTAATTTAGAATAAAGATAACCAGAAAAGAGGCTACATTCAAACAGATTTTAATTCTCTAAGAATGGGTTTCGAAAAATACACCTGTTTGTAATTAAGTTAGTTCGTAATAAAATTAAACGATACAAGCAGGATGAGGAGGAAGGAGGTTACCTCCAACTAGACTTGGTAACACCCTACAATAATTACATTGGAGATCCTTACTGCCTCAAACGAGATTGAAAACTTTATTCTCATATGGGAAGGTAGTTGAACAAGGTGCAGGTGGTACAATATTATACATACCTACCTATATAGGTATATGCAACATGTGACATAACTTATATGGTAAAATTTCTGAATCTAAAAGGGGCAAATATGGGAGGACTATGTGATTTGGTATATAGCATGTTATACCTTTGAAAATAAATGCTCTAAAATAAGTACAGTAAATTCCATATGAAAAATATAATTTTATTTTTACAAATATAACATTTACAAAAATGAAAGCTTTTTGTTTAATTTATTAACCTAGATATTGATATGGAAGGAATACTAATTTGTAATGCAGTTGCTTCTTATAATAATAAAGAAGACTAGGAATACAACTGCGTAACCCATCTGGCCATTTAAGACTTTTCCTTGTTTTTATATATATCGTGTATATAAGGCAACATGAATTACTCTATACTACAAATCACATTGAAGTAGGTAGTAGGTGTAAAACAATTTTTCCGCAAATTGTACCTTAACAGACAACTTTCAAGCACCATTTTAACCAACTACTATTTGTACTCTTGAATTTTATCCATTCCGTTCAAATAAACTTCCCGTTTTGGTCCACTTTGATTACTTCTAGTCACGTTGGTCTAATTGCTGCTTGAGGGCTTAAATCACTACAGTTCTCTGCGGCCCTCAAATAATAATAAAAAACAAATGCAAAAAATGTAACAGAACATAACATTAATGACTACGGGAATATCACATTTAGTTAATACATTCATGTATTGAACGTTCATTGCATCTCACATGTAACATTTTATGAGAGTACCTATACCTAAACTACCGGTAACTACTGCCAGAGGGCATATTTCTACTTTGGTTTTCAAATGATGATAACAGTGGCGTCGGATTACTAGATTGAGAGTCCATTGAATAAATGCTAACATCATCGTGAGATGTCTTCCAATGAATCGCCGTACTCTTACCAAGAGGAACTGTTAGGGCTGGTGGATTATAAACTCGGTCTTTACAATGTAGTCTATACTCTTCCCCTTCTGAGCTATGGAAAAAGGAAACTAATCTAAAATTCTGCCCAATATTTTGTTCTAATTTTTCGACTATGTCTTTAAAAAGAGGCCGATGAATAGGTTTCCATTTCCAACATGCGTCCATTATTTCATACAACAAATCAGGACACTCATGTGGGCGCTCCAACGTTCCTTGCGCAATCACAAATTGTAAAACTTGTTCGTTTGCAAGACCTTGGTACGGTTGTTCCGCTAACGTGGCCATTTCCCATAGTACTACGCCATAACTCCAAATATCAGAGTCAGATGTGAAAACCCCATCAGCTAAACTTTCGGGAGACATCCACCTAACAGGCATTAGGCCTCTAGTTTCTTTTCTATAGTAATCAGTCTCATAAATATCTCTGGTCATACCAAAGTCGCCAATTTTCACAGTAAAGTCTGCTGCCACCATGCAGTTACGAGCCGCTAAGTCTCTATGGACGAATTTCTTCGCCGCTAAATACAGCATACCGTCCGCAATCTCAGCTGCCATTCTGTACATTTCAGCACAAGTTAAGCTACTAGAGGAATCACGAGATCTCCGCAGAAACGATTTTAAATCGCCTCGCGTCATCAGCTCCATAACAACGAACGGCGGTTGACCTTTCGAAACAACACCTAGAAGTTTTACTACATGGTGAGCGTCACTAAATGACTTCATCACGGATGCCTCATTTAAAAATGTCATTTTATCATCATAATCTGTGTACGAATTCGCAGTTTTGACCGCGCAAGGCATGTTTTTTGACTTGATGAACCCACTGTATACCATACCGAAAGTACCGTGCCCTAATTCCTTCATGATTTCAATGTCAATCCTGTCGATCTCCCACTCGTCTTCGATATAAATCGGACCCGCATAGTCCGGATTAACATTCGTGATTAAATGCAGGCTATTTAACCTACGTTTTCGTTTATAATAATAGAAATAGTATATTGCGCCAAAAATGCAGAACGTTACTAAAGCGACCGGCACCACTATTGCAACAGGCGAGACGTCGTTGTCGGGGAGTTCAATCACAAACCTCACCGATTCACTATATTTCCCCTCACCCGCAAGCGAAATTGGTTTCACCCTAACCGCGTATTGACCTGGGGGAAGATGCTGTATAACATATCTTCCACCACGCACTGAAGAATGATTAATGCACTCCGTTACGTTCTTCGAATTCTCTAAATCGACGCGTTTGTACTGAAGCTGATAGGCTACAATAATGGAATTTGGCTCCTCGGGCTCTGGCCATTTGAACACGGTATCCGATTTCAATACTTCGGCGGTAAGTCCCGATGGAATATAATCGGCGTCGATTTTTTTAAACGTCCTATTCGATGCCATTACCGAAGCACTACACTGTGATTCGTTATTGCAGGCTTTCAAGTAGAATATGTAACTCGTGAAATGGTGCAGACGCTGTACAAGATAATTCGTGACGTTGGGGTCAATTTTTACAACTTCCCGATCGTCGTTCGCGTCGGTAAGTAACTGATCGTGTTTTCCACAGCTACCTCCAAATGGGGAATCATGTGCGTCTACTAAACTACAAACGTCTTCAAAGATATCCACGTATTTATTTTCTTTATTACAACAGGTCGCGTTAGCGCTAGAATTCGTCCATAAGTTCGTCACTTTTTCGGATTTATGGTCGGTATAGAAGGTGACGTGGGGATGATGGCAGAAATCTCTTTGCAGTGCAACGCCATAATCATCCTCTTGAGCAATGACAGTTAAATGATAAAAATTTAAAATTCCATTCGTGTGTTCGGGACGAACCCAAGTTAGCAGTATTCCATCACTGCTTATTGCATCGCCTTTAATGTTGAGTGGAATCGATGGGTCGTCGGAAAGTGTCGTAAAGTACCGAATTTCCGTTTGTCCCCCAATGGAAGGGGGTGATGTGTATGTTTTGATGTAATACGCGTATTGGGTGAACGGTAATAAGTCGCCGATTTCCTTAGAGTTATTCGAAACGAATACGCTATCCCATCCGTAAACGCCGCAATCGTCGCTTTCATCATAGATCGTCATATTTCCCATGGGATCCTCGATGTAATATAGCAGATATCCAACAACTGTCTCATTAGCACCAACTGCAAACGCATTCCAATTGAGTATAATGGTTCTGGAATTGACATGTGTAACTGAGAGGTTGAGATTAAGATAATTGCAAGCCGTTTTATCTCCGTTGGAGAAGGTTGATACGTCAATTGATGAAAACTCGATTCCAGTCACGACACGAAGGCGTTCTATCTCTTTCAAGCATAACATTGGATTGTAATGGAAGGAGATCGTGCCTTGCTTGATGGTTAATGTGAAATTGTCCCAATCCCACAACTCGTGCAGATGTTGATTTTCGAACACAATAAGCGAGTGCCTTGCGTTATCTAACTCTTTGCCGTGAATAACGCGCAATTTCTTTAAAAAATTCAAACTCGTAAGCGGATAGGAGCGGTACACCTTCAAGTACCCGTCGATCTCCTCAATCATCCCCAAAGATTCTTCCAACTCATCGGCGGCACTTTTCGAAAACACTCTAATCGAAAGCGAACTGGAGATGTGCGTGCATCCCACCAACTTCTGCGCCGCTTCTATTGTATCAACCAAGATTCCGTCGCACGATTTGACGCACTTATTTCCGCAATACGAACACCAACCCTCCTCGGCCGAAACTTGCTGGTAGTACGGTGGACAGCTATTGACGCACTCCCCTTGGAAGACCCACCACGTGCCATTGAGGACCGTGGGACATTCTGCCTCGGTTACACAGTAACCAACTGCAGAATGCAAGATTCTGCAACAAAAAGATGGATTGTAAGATTTGAACACTTTAAAACAGAAGCCGCCTAGTTTATGTAATGTAATCCGTCTGTTATAAGATTGATTTTTATGAATCGCATGAATAATTGATTACCGAAATGTTTCTTTCAATCATGGTTGATTAACAGAATGAAGACGTAATTCGGCCATTACTACTACGTCTCGAGTAAATATTCTGACACTATTAATTAAATATGAGTTATAGAAATAACTTAGTAATGGGGCAATCAAGTCAAGGTGATATATTGAAATGGTTGACCTGAGGTCTCTTTTAATTGTCGACTTACACTTTAAAGTGCCATAATGCTCGAAATTACTGGTACACTATGATGACATTGTTTTTTCCTCTTAGGTTTGGGCCACGTGTCAACCACGAACTAATTTGTCCAAAAAAGGGAAGTTGACACTAGTTGAGATTGACTCCATGCGTAATTGACTCTTAACACTCAAGACGAGGATGGTCTTAGGTGATAGGTCTTACATGAAACAGAAGAAGATGAAGTGGAAGTAATAAAATGGCAAATAAAGAGGGAAGTGCATTGGAAAAGGTAAAATGGAGGACTGATGAACAGGAAGAAAAAAGGGAGGCAAGATAACGAGTTGATTTCCAGGGAAACATGAAAATAGGAACATTTCTTAAATTTTGTAACAGAATACAAGGTGGAAACATGGAACCCAAAGAGAAAAAATAGGAAAAAATGAAAAATAGCATGCCGAAAGAGTTCACATGCAAAACCCCATTTACGAAGAAGAATATTAAACGCAAGGAAAGAGCATGAGGTATTATAATAAAAGGGGGAATTAAAGAATGGTGAAAAGAAATCGACCAGAAGGCAGGCAGGAGAGAAAAGGAATTTAAGTGATGACGATTTTAGAAAGAAAATAGAAAATGTGATGACAGAAGGAAGTGGTTATGATCTGATTCTATTGAGAAGAAATGGAAACGCTAGAATAGGAATAATTGTGAGTGTATCGATGGGAAAGGAAAATAGGGATAAACAGCATGGGATCAGTAAAGCAACAGAGAGGAAGAATTGCTATTAGATTTCGGTAATAAATTGCCTCATGTTAAATTAACAAGGAATTAAAAAAGAGCAGAGAATTTTAAAAAGGAAAGGAATAAGAGCAAGCACCAGGAAGAGGAAGAATGCAGAGGGGAAGTAATAGAAGAAAGCGGAAGAGATCGGGCAGAGAAGAAGACGAAGAGGAGGAAAGAAGAAGTTGACAAGATAAAGATATAAGACAGAGAGAGAGAGAGAGTAGCGAGGTTCAGATGTGGAAACGAGAATAGAGGAAATGAAAGATCGAAAAAAGAAGAAGAATGGAAATGCATAATGTGACCGAAAAGAGAGATAGATAAGATGTAACGGTTTATTTTCTCCATTACAAGCATAGTTATTGTTCACGGTATATTTACTTGTGGAAAGATCCTCGTAACTTTTAAATAGATGACTCACTGTATTGTTGGACTTTTAACAACGCAGTATTATCTCGTGGTGGTTGTAGATTGTCCACTTTCATTTTCCATATCCAGTTATACTTCGTTTTACTAAAACAGGTGGAAGGGTTGGTTAGAAAGCATTGAATATGCTATCATCAATATTTATTATTCTCGGGCGATTGAATTCATTAAATTCAAGATTAAGTTGTAATTAGGACGGATTAGGACTCCAATAATGAGGATTTTAATTGCGTTTTCTCTCTTATCGTAAGTACCGCCATTTGCATTTCGCGTAATTAAAGTGCAACGTTCTTTAGTTTCGGCTATAATTTTAATCTTAACTGTAAGAACCAGTTTAAATACCGGATACGTTACGTTACATACGATTTCTGGTTCGAGATACGAATTTTGGTAACCTTGGATTAAACTCACCATTTATCTGTACGTCCTTGACAGGTCAACATCCGTTGAACGAGATTTGATATCAGAGATCGATCCTCAACAAAGAGACAACTTTCGTAACTCTTTAGCGTATAAATTCATAAGTGTTTTGTCCTTCTGGGTTATATGCTATTATTACATTCAAGTAAGTTGTTAAGATTAGTACCTACTTTAGTATCTTTGCCATCTCAGTTAAGTTATGATCGAGTTTGGAACACGAATATTATTGTGGCCCTCCACTTCCTTCTGAAGTGGTTGGCCGATTAAGTAGGTACCGTACCTGTTATAGAAGCAGATTACGAGTAGATCGAGGCCCTTCAGGCACTAGTATATACCGAGCTCTGCAGCTTGTCGCTTGGGAGGTTTTATTTTGATTTATTTGCAGGTTTTCGATGCAAGGACTGAGCCCACTTCTTGACGTCGACGTATATCTTATGCAAGGTGAGAGTTGCTTTACAGGTTTTACTTGTACTTGGCCCTATACTTGAGAATTTTTGTCCCGAATATCGTTTATTTGGGGAAACTTGCTTTAAAATGCAGTCATCAATGTAATCGATTATTCTTGATTGGGGTTTGTTAAACTGGGGAATTTCAATTGTATATTGAAGTTATCAAGATTTTTGTGTAACGTAAGTTATTCGTAATTCAGAATATTTGGGGTAGTATTGTGAATATTTGTGTGTTACTCTATCCCATTGTGGAAATAATTTTTATTTTTGCCATTTGTTTGTATTTCTTTTGGTGCCTAAATCGAATCGATTTGTTTTTACTACCCTTGTATCATCTCAATGTCATACGGGGAGACCGAAGAAAATCATTGGACAGTAAGCGAAGGAGAGAGAATTGAATTGGCATTGGATCAATCAATCAATGTCATGGAAGGATCACATTGAGAGCACGGTAACCCAAATGCCGAAAGGTTTTAAATATTATTAAATGTCTGGGCAATATAAAATGGGGAGCGGATAGGGAGATCCTTTTAAATATATATGTATAAGACACGCCAATTCAGCTCAACACCTCAACCTTTTGTAAAAAAAACATCACCGAATACCAGCTAAAATGTATCATCTCCATAGCACTTATGTAACCTTTTGTAAACCTTTTTAAAACTACGACGCTAAGGCCTGAAGATTGTTGTAAACTAAAAACCGAAATGGATAGCCTAAAACAGAAAAAAAATGATAGGTACTTCATAAATAGCTCAATTTAGGAAAAGTACATTTTCGGAAAATCCCTTGGGGCTAAAACTTGTCAGGAAAGTTCGGTGGTGGTTTGATAACTAAGTTTTGTTATAAATTCAGCAAGTAAGAATTTTGCGCAACCGTTACGGCTTAATGCTTAATTATGATCTATTTACATAATACTGATGTGCGGAATAAAAGAATGCGTACGGATGCGGGTAATGAACTATTCTATTAATGCCTGTCGAACAGGCTAAATTGCAACAAAAGAGTTAAATTTGATCTTTCTCAATATGCTATTTCATCACCATATCAAAATTACAAATTGAAATTAAATTGAAAATAATGATTAATCTTACTTGTTTCTAGGACATCGGGAAACGCATTTGGATCCATCTAAATAATTTTGACAGGTGTAGCATCGTTTAGGATCCCTTGGTTCGCTGCATCCGTAGCATTCGCTATCACAATTGTCGTCCGCCACCACTTGACAGTAATTTTCATTCCAACACAAGCCTGCAATTAATTTTCATTAAATTACTATGAGACTGTAATTATTATCTTAAACCTTGATTTAATTTAGTTATTGACAAGCTAATTAGCACACTTTGTATGCCTTATATGTATGGTGGGAACGTATACTTATTTCCTTGTTTCAAAGCGTTATTTGAAAACGTGATATAAATTTTATGGAAATAGGCTCTTTGATTTATGTCGCCCAAAATTTTTTTCCGGATTGCATCACATTCGCGCGAGACTTTGACATTTACCGTAAATCTTGGGGGCAAACATTTACATTTTTCGTAAAGAAGATTGTACAAACCGTCGCCCGCCGGCAAAGGCCTTGATCTAATTATAAAAAGCGGATCGGAAAATAATCAGGAACCGACACAGATAAATTTAAAAATAGAAAAATCTTCATAGCGCCTCCTATTTTATTTAGACGTAATGGGCGCAATCCGAATTCATAAATTTATGCGCCTAACTATAGAAAAATTGTTGCAAATTCCTGGCGGAGCCATATTTGTGTTGGAGGCGGCTAAAAATGTGGCGAAACTACCACGTGCCTGGTACTCGAAAATCAGTAGAGGAAACTGGGTTATCAATACACTAAATGCACCACATCCTACTTTTTATGGTTCAAGACTTAAAATACTGATATAGCGACGTCTAAAAATACAACTAATTTCAGTAAGATATAATATTAAATCCATAAAATTGCACTCTCTTTCAGTAACGACGAAATGGCGCCAGTAACTTTGAAAAATTCCGTAAAGGAACGTAACATTTAATAGCGAAACCTTAAACTTATATGAAGATAGGTATAATATAATCGTCATAAAATACACAGGCCGTATATTAGTTCGTGACATTTTATTGAAAATTACCTTATACTACTAATAGATCCTCAGATAGATTTCAATTTCAGTAGGAATTTCTGACGATTGATTGATAAAAAATAAACCGAGGGCATTCTTTACGGTTCAATTCTGGGATAAATATTATTTTAAATAATTTCATTGAATATTTCGAATACCGTTGCAAGACGCATGAAAAAGGTCGACTTGTACGCTTGTTCTCACACATAAAGTTAAAAACGACAAACCTGGAAGAAACTGAAGAATTTAAAAAGTTGAAGATTCGATCGGTAGAATTCGAATGAAATAAAGAATCTGGAAGATCTAATTGACTAAAAATTTGAAGAATATGAGTGTGGGAAGAATTCAAGGGTAGATTATCCTTAATGTAGCCTGGGGAATTTAATTGAAATTCGAAGGATAGATGAGGACGAACTCGAGGAAAATTTAAAGAAAAACAATGAATATTGGGGAAATATGCCAAAACCTAAGAGGCACTTAAGAGCGGTATGGACCTAAAAAAGTATTGAGAAAAGGATAGGGTGTGGTAGGCACTTCAGAAGGACTTTCTAGTTCCCTTGATTTTATTTGATGCGTAAGCAAACAGTTTATAATTTTAAAGAAGGGTGTATACTGATCATAACTAATCACGGTACGTAATAAGTTTAAAATTCAATTGAAAAAAGTGTCGTTGGTTTTCGTTCGAGCGATTACCGCCAGATTTCAATTTGATTTCAAGCGATTTCGAACTGATTTCAAACTGATTTCAGGAGATTTCAGGTGATATCAGGTGATTTCAGTACTTGTGTACACCTAATTTCAAGGGTGAATTACCCCTCGATTTTAACTTACTTTTTCTGCTTTCATTTTATCGAACTTGTTTGTATTTATTTATCCCATATTTCTGAGTGTCACTAGTTAATAAAATGGCGCATTCATTTACTAGTGTCATTCGACTAAAGCTGAAGTTTTCATAAAATAAAAAAAAATGAAAATTGTGATAGTTAGATCTTGCTAGAGAATTGAATAAGGTTATGTGCCTATGAAGTTTTTAAAAGGTCGACACCCGATTCCAATGTATGAAATGTAGGACTTGAGACCTTTTTTTGATCCCCTCCAATATTTTTTCGTTAACAATTCAGAAAACCTAGTAAATATTAGTGGGAGGTAATGTATGATGTTTACAGTGGGAGTTCTAATATTTACCATTACACTCGCTAGGGCAGCTCTCGCAGTACTCATTCTTGCCGAAATAATCCAGCCTGTGAGAAGGGCTAGCAATTTTGGTCCAATTGATTGTATCCACATAACATACATTAGGGCAATTTTCTATCCTCGTCGATCCTCTAGCGATGTATTTCAAATTCCGCAGGCCAATCTGAAACCAACGGAGAATATAAATTCATATTCAAATTTGTCATTCGTCAATAATTAAGGTGTGCATCAAAATATTTGATTTAAAATTCAGGTTATAAATATAGCTGGGTTTTAACGGCAGTAAACATTTCAGATAGTTATGAAATGAGTGTTACTGCATATGAATGGCAAGTTTCACACAGTTTGTTGAATACAAATGGGGATATTTGTTTTAAAAATCGCAAATAATTTATACGACGAAATAGGCATCTGACAAACTGATTTGGCAAGTAGACAGATCAAATTGAAAAACTTTCGATATGTAAACATGAGTTAACATACGCAATGAACTAAAAACAATAATTTTCATCTGTCCAAACACCCAATCCTTCCAATTATAAATTATAATTTGGACCACATGGCTCGATTAGTACGCATTAACACACCCCTACAGGTTTACAAGATGTTACTCAGTAATTAATACTCAATTCCCCTGCCGTAAAAGATACTAATTAATAGACACTGCTTATTTGCCAAGTTAATTGTGATCTATCATTTGTATCTGTCTAGTGTTTTGGGTCAATGGTAATTTATACTACACGTTTTTGCACTCCATAAAGTTATGGATTGCCTCTAAAATATTAATCAATTTGGCGTTGTACTGCGATATTACGTAAACATGCATCAAATTAATCGTGGAATTCGTGACTTTGCTTCTGAATGGCAAACTAAAAGGGAGCCCTTGTGAGACACGTAAAACGCATTATCTTTCTACTTCTCATTTTCAATTCAATCTAGCTTCAAGAACTACGTTATTTACATCGTTTAAATTGCGAAAGATAAATATATTTCTGTAATGAAACACTCGTACATACAGCTCCTTTCAGTAAATCAGAATTTCTTCCTTTAGAGGTAGGAAGAGATATCTAATTAACTTTCAGTTAACTGAAAGTTAATTAGGGCATCCAATGAGCATGCAATTAGTCACCAGACCAGGTGTACCGTGATTTAGTTTGATATTTGAATAATTTTCTTCAAGTGACATGGACTAGATCGAGGACTGATGAACAACGATAAACTTGTGTACACGATTTCAGTAGATATCGGTGTTGAATAGTTAACAAACATACATTTTTGAATTCATTACCGTTATACCGATTGTGGGAATGGAAATGTTGAGCAGTAAAGCTAAAAATAAGCAGTGTATATTTACTGCATAATTTTTAAATGCACACCGAAGTGTAAGAACAGTTTCACATATATTTGCATATACTTATTTAACAATAAGTTAATGAATTTGTTGAAAAATAAATAAATAAATTACGCAACAGTATATACTAGCATAGTGTTTCTATTCTTTACACTAAGATACTAGTAAGCTTTGCTGACCAAACTACTATACAACGGAAGTATTTCGAAGATTTAGACTGCTACCTCCAAAATGTTAGAATGAAATATGTTTATTTCAAAAATTAAGTGTATACATGCGGTAAATCGTGTATTGCCCTGTTTCGTTGCTTGCCAGTTTTATTGGCTGTTTAAGTTTTTCGAAAATTAAGTGAGATTTCCTTTTAAATAGGATAGACGCGGAAAAGAAAACGCTTTTTTGCTAAGTTCGAGACCGGAGTGCCGTTCCTTTATTAGAGCATTTTTGCCAGTTCCGAGGCCGGAGTGCTCTCCGTCCGTAGCAGTATGTTTTTGGTCGTATACAGTTTTCGATCCGGCTTGTTAGAAGAATTCCGCTCCTTTCGTGACCGACTACGTTTTTGGTTTGAAGAAAAACGATATTCAAGTTCGAGTTTTGTTAAGAGTTTGCAGGCCGGCCTGGATTCCGTTTGTGCTAATTTTTGAAAGAAGTTTCTGCAAGTTTCATTTTGTCGAAGCGTTTAAGGCGGCGGTTTCAAGTTTTGGATAGACATGGTTGAACCTGAGCCCCTTCCATACCAACTGTCTATCCACGTGCTTGTACAATGAACCTTTTTTTAGCCTTTTTCAATATGGATTCTAGTAATGAAGTACCCATTTTTGATGAAGAGCAAATCTGATTGGCGGGACTACCCCGAAATGGACGAGCTTAAGGCGCTACTACCCACGCTCCGAATTCTGCTGAATTGCATCTTTCAAATAGGTACGACAAACTAGCTTTACAACAAAACCTTACTGAGATAAGATGGCTCCTGCGAATTTCTGGATCCGAAAACTTCCTAAAGCTATTAAGAGGACAAATCTCTATAGAAATCAAATGATTTTTGCAATTCCTCCAGCCATACAATTTACTAGAAAATTCCACTCCTTAATTTTGACACCCTGTGACGTTCTATGATAAGTAATGCTTACACTGTTCGAAGCTTACATTTTTACTATACGGTTCTTCAGACCTGTTGAGGCCAATATCTGCTTTTGAGCTCAGTTTAAACAAAATATTGTTAAAACTTGCATTTGATGATATGCGCTCCTCAGTAATGTCTCTTGAGGCAAATATCTCCCTTGAAGATTAAAAGAAAAAGAAAATCCCGCATCGCGAAATAAACGATTCCAAAATCTCGGCAAATAAGCCACCCTGTATGGTAAATAAAATTAACGGACGAACTTTCGAATGCCATTTTTCTAATAAAAAATGTGTTAATAAAACCAGTTACTCTGCAGGGATCTTCTTTTGTATCAAATGCAAAAAAAAATGTTTGCTCTAATATAATATGTACTCGTAATGTGAGGTAAGGGTAAAAATTCTATCTGTCTGTCTGTCTATGGGCATTGCCAAACCACAATGACCTTAGAATAAGAAGATCAGCTATAAACAATTAATAAATAGTATAATTAATATTAAATCAAATCTGGTGTAACAGAGAGTAGTATTTAAACGTTTCTTTCTGACAAAAAATAAACATCCACTTATCTCTCTTCTTAATGAAATTTAGTTTAAGGGATATTGCGGGGTTTACTATCGAAATACCATCAAATTTAAACGAATTTAAAGGTCTTACGGCCTTTTTATTGGACTAAAGTAGACTAGCAACCCCGACAATAAAGTGGATACTTACAGAAAAAACAACGCAAAATTCATTCAATGAAAACTGAGCACAGCTTACATAGTAATAAAATTAAAAGCTTATATTTATTAAGGAACACGAGTATTCTGCGTTAGGGTGTGCAATGCGACGTTTCTTAGATCCTTTTTAAGAACCTGTAAAAAGATATTCCGTGGATTTTGCTTTTAGAAATAATATATGCCGAGGGCTCGAAGAAAATGTAGACATTTATTTTTCATTTGGTAGACACTTATATGGATTTTACTAAAACTTTATGAATTTTTTGTGCCGCACTTACAAGAATGGTATCCAAAGTACACCAAAGAGAACCACTTTTGCAGAAAACCTATTCTCATTTCGTGATAAACACTATAGTTGTGCAATAAATATTCTAAATTGTTATTACAGTTTGCCGAAAAGGGAACGCGTTTCAGAAGCTCAATATTGCGAGATACAAATTAGATAGAAGTTGGCAAGAGAGTAAAGCATTTTTCGCAATTTGAAATAATAACATTCGGCACAGTACGTACATTTTTATTAAAATGAAATATGTATCATTTTGAATTGAAGTAGGTATGTTAAACGAATTTATTTAGGTTAATGAAAATCTAGAGGTTAGTAAAGTTCCCAAGGAGTGCATTTATTTAAAATAGCGCAACGTGTAGTATCAAAGACGTAATAAAAAATTGTACAAATAAAGATAAGCTTCAGTAACCTCGTAACTCGGACCTGTGGCCATCTAGATAGTGAAAAATAAATCGAGGGCACACCAATTACACAGTTGCACGCTTTTTCATTACCCTACTTACGTGAAACCATTATAATAGTAAAACTGAAAGAACCTCTCTTGTAATTTTGTAAAAATAATATTCATTGTCCAGGAAATTAGTTTCTTTATATTCTCATCTACGGAGATCAATTATGTTTGTTGTTAATAACTATTTCATTTGGGTAAACCCAAAAGCCTCCCCTTACCGCGCTCAAGATTCATTAAATTACCTTTTGGTTGCTGCGTAAACTTTGGCGAGTTTTAGATGCTCGTAAATGGCGGTAATGAATTTTCATTGTATAATTAAAGCAATCGGTAAGCCAAAATTAAAGTTTGTACTATGGTGTAATTGGACGCTTTTACCTTGTATTCTTTGATAATGATTACGGTAATGTTGACCATTTGCACCCGCGTATAAATTAGCATAAAATGAATAAAAGTTTTACTGGAGCGGCCCAGAAAATTATTTTAGTGTGTAAGTCAATAATGAGTGAATGAATAAATTCTGTCACCAACTGGAATATACCTATTAATATGGCACTTCACTCTAGAGCTAGACTATTTACTTGGCACAGATTATATAAGAAATACGTACAAAGACTCTCTTCTAATCTAATGCCTATTTATAATCCACAAACTCTATTACAAGAGTAATGATAAGTTCCTCAAACATAAAATAATTTGATTTCCACCTCACACAAAAATGAGTCGAAATTTCAAATATACCTTACCTATTTATATTTTCTAGTTTGTGTTTGCCGACTACAGAAACCCAACATTGTTTGTTCAGACGTTATAGACAAACGGGTAATTTGAGTCGAGTACGTAACATTTAGTGGCGACCGTGACAGGACTCTGTGTTGTTGATTTACATGATTTCTGTCACTTTACCGTATAAACTGGCCGTTTTAAACTGAAGACCTTCGCCTATAGGTAGTGATTTATAAATACCTATAAGATGGAAGTTGGAACAATTAAAAAAAGTAGGAAAGTTTCGCGATCTGTTTTCACTAAAATAGGTAACGGTTAATTATAAATAAAGGCGACATGAATGAGATAAGTGTACAATATTAACTATTGAGCAATAAAATGGAGGGCTTGCTGAAGAAATCTACCCGTTATTTCTTGAGGATGAAGGGGCCACCGAAGCAGATTTGATAGCTGAACAGGAGCAGTGTGACGGGTACCAAAAGAGACATTCCACTTTGAAACTAGAATATAATG